AATGGACCTGTTGATGTGGTATAGCCCCGGCCTTCTGAGCTCTTGCCGGAAGCCACTCCAAGAAGCCGACTTTTACATAACGCGGTGGCGCACATGTTCACCCTTCACACACAGTGCACACGCAGCCGATGGCAAGAGTCGCGCGCGCGCCATCGGAACGGAGAAACGTAACGTAATTCCATACACGATTCACACATTTCACACACCGATGCTATGCATCAGGGGGCAATTCTTGGGGTTCAGGTTATCTTGCTCAAGGATACTTCGCCACGTGCCAGGGGAGGAGGCCGGGCGATCGGAAACAAACAACCTTCCGATTTGGGGGGACGACCCCGCCTCTACCTCTGGAGGCCACAGCCCGCCCTGGTGGTGGTAGTTGGCAGACTGCACTCGGCTTCACACTCCCCTTCCAAGGTCGTGGTTAGGAGAAACTACGGGGGCCACGAAATGGTGGCGAAAAACGCCCCAAATTTGCAACACTGACCGCCAAATTGGCCATGGAGAATAGAATTAGATTCCCTCCAAGAAGAAGATGAAGAGACATCAGTATGTGACCACAATAGACCATTATGGCAGCCAAAGACTCAGTGTCATGAGAATGATGTACCGTAGAAGATGGCATTTACCATTTAGATGCCACTAAATCCCACACACTAGTCCTTTAACACACAGATGTGAAAGTGATATCAATCTTCAGGCTTCACCCAGCTTGCTCACGAAATACTGTAGCTCCTACACAAAGATATTCTTAAAACCACATTTACATTCTATCTATTCTATTTCTATTTCTGCACTTTAATAAGGAAGACAAAATTTGTCAATATATCTTTTTTGGGTGTGGGACGATCTTAACATTATTTACCAAACCAATTTTTTTAAGGAATGTTTCACAATAATATCAAGGTAATGTCATACATCCATGAACATTTGGCCAGGGAAATCACACTGTAGTTTTTTACTACATGCTTAGATGGTCGTATGGGAAAATATTTTCATGTTAGATATAGCATGTTGCTCAAAAGGAAATGGTATCAGTGGTTTTTGAGCTTGCTATAGTACCTGTTTCATTACTCTTACGTCACTGCACATAGCCAGACCTGAAACATACACTGGCATTTCTGCTCTAACGTAATAACTGCAGCACACCGGAAGAGTGTGTTTTCTTGAATTAGCTTCAGTCCTAAAATGAAACATGTCCACTGAAAAGTGAACCAGACCTACTCTCAGTCAGGAACAAGACTCTTACTCTGAATGATATCTTTTATGAAGTAATCATTCAAGGTCATGTTGAATGTATGGATGTCTGGTTCTGTTTATATTGACCTGGCTCAAACAGGAACACTAATGGTACTTTCCATTGCATTGCACTATTTCCTGCAGAGCCCACCTACTTACCACAGTTGCACTCACAAGCACACTGTCACTGCTTTTCACTGTAATTCTGCCAACACTCACTCACAGTCATTCCATGACTCAGAGAAACACACACCACCCTATTTTTACCAGAACAGACTGTCAGGGTGAGCTTAACTCATCTATACCTGTACACTGTTAAAGTACGTCACTATAACTTTACCTCATCACCAAAGTACATGACATGTCAAGACAGGAAAAGAAGAAATGAAAAACTTTTCCTCCTCATTACACAGAAATGTTCAGTTTCTCTTTTATACTGAACTAAGACCTTGTTAAGCAATCTTTAAACACGTCAAACTCCACAGAAACAATATAAAACTCACCAAACTGTCTTAATTAGTCTTTCCACTGTTCCCATAATCACCAACTCTTGGGTCTAACCATCTAACAGAGTTAGACCTGAAAATATTCTGGCTGTAAGCGCTGTGACTGCCTCTCTGATGCCCCATCTCCCTCACTCCTCTACCTGCTTAATCCCTCTCCTCTCCTGGCCTGTCCCTCTCCCTGCTGTGTCCCCATCTTCACCACAGTTAGATGTGAAAATACACTGACTCTACAGCTCTTTTGCCTATGGTTCTTTGGCTCAGTGTGTATGTACTGTGCCTTACTGTATTACTGCCTTTAAATAGCTGATTTGCAGTAAACCCAATAGTAGAAGTAATGGTAGAATTGTAAATTACTGGATGAAACATGGAATAAAAATGCAATTTGTACTGACTTAAGATCCAGCTGGAAGGTGGACGGCAGCAGTACAAGCCGGTGGTCATGGCACTGACGGAGAAGGACATCCTGCTGTTTGAATCGGTTCCGTGGAGCAGAGAGTCCTGGTCCGTGCCTCTGCTCACACACCCACTGCTAGCCACAAGGTAAGGACTACAGACAGCAGGGTGAGTCAGCTAAAGCCTTACGCTGCCAGAATGTTCAAATCTTACCTGACTGGTCTGCTTTCCACCCCTCAGGAAACCTTTTGAAGTGGGTTCATCACTTCTTATTTCATGATACAGATGTATATATTTACGTTAAAATGCGTTTGGATGAAACATTATTGCAAGTCCACTGTTGAGTCTATTCAAGGTATCAGTAAATATTCAACAGAATATCAGCTGATTGTCAAAATGAGCTGTTTCAGCAGGCTGTTAGTTCAGTACTTTCCATTTACCATCGACATATGTTGTGTGTAATTTACGGTAACCTGGAAATTTAAAGTTTCTCACTTTAAAATGAAAGTGAAAAAGGTCAGTAGTAACCTGTTCAGTGTAGGAGGAGAGCGGTTTCACAGTGCACAGTGACTTTAGCTGGGAAACCCCACATTTGGAGGGGAAAAAAAGAACACCCCAGTTAATCCTATTTAGGAAATGACACTAACTAGACCAATCAATGTTGGGGGTCAGTCCCTTCAGAGACCAGAACCCATTGCCAAATTTAATAAACAGCTTAAGAGGAGCAAAGCAATTACAATTAGTCATGCAGATTATCGATGTGAGTTGAAAAATGTGTCTCTCTCTTCAGGCTGGTTCATTCTGGCAACGCCCGGGGTTCTCCTGCCCAGGGTTCAGACCTGGTGTTTGCCACTCGGACAGGCACGGGGCGGGGCATCGAGTCCCACGTCTTCCGAGTGGAGACCCATTGGGATCTGTCTTCATGGACGCGAGCCCTCGTGCAAGGGGCACATGCTGCGGCCGAGCTGATCAAAGAGGTCTCCATTGGTGAGTGTGAGCGTGTGGACAATAGGTGATCAGATATCAAAGTACGAAGTCAGCACCAGAATTCCATGTGGCCTTCTCAAGTACTCTTAAGGCTAAAATATGTTGTTTTGGTTTTTTAGCCCGTAACTTCACTGTTTTGGTTTGAGTATCGAGGTCCCTCAATCTCGGTCGTGAGCAGGGCTCAGCTGTCAATCATGACATGAAACCACCTTTTTACAGCTTCAAATAACAAATTAAAATCAGACTGATCAGAAAAAATTAACCCTGGAAATTACAGTAGAAACCGTCTTTGAGAAATATTTATTTGACGTGGACATAGAGGGTGCGACCGACTGATTGACTTCACTTTTAGGGAGCTGTCATGTCCTCTGTCTTTATATATTCGGTGGTGTAAATAGTGTTTGCTGTCTGCTGGTTTGATGTCAGTGTAAAAACATCTGTTAATTCAGGTTTAAGTAAAGAGTCTTAATACTTCTTCCACCACTGATGACACTTAACCAGAAGTTTAAGCCACTATTGAACCAATAAACCCAGTATCTTTAACTGGTAAAAATGTATCAGACGTGAGCCAAAATGATAAAGGAAATTCATGCACTGAGGTATAAAAAGATATCTAGACTATTGCTAAAATTATCGACTTTAATCTGATCATACTCCTGATATAGATTCAAGGTTATCCTTAGCATTGATTGGGGTTTTTGTCTACAGGAAACCGTTCTTTATTAAGTGCAATACATCACTGCACTACACACTGCAACCTCAGATAACAGCACAGAGTCGGATAAGCACCGTGGCCATGTATGGTTCATCTACACATCATTTGGTTGAATGTGTGTATGCTTCTTTTTTTCATAGTGTGTGGTTTGTGTCAGTACACACAGGTTAGCAGCAACAGTGTGGGAGAGTGAGTAAGCAGACCTTTAACCAGAGGAAGTGGGTTCACCTTTGTGCATGGAATCAAGTGGAAGTTAGTTTTCTAGATAAAACAATTGACACTTTTTTCCAGGTAAACACAGATAAGAATATTCTTCTGTGTATAGACCTTTACATGCCTAAACTACTTTGACTGTAACAGGAAGCTAGGCAACTGGCTCACTAGCAGTGGGAAGCAGCTCAGAAAGAGCAGCTCTGTAGAGGAAAAGCAGAAGTGGGAGCCAGCAGAGGGGAATGTTTTCACTCTGTGCAGAACAATACTTGGCTGCCGGAACAGCACTGGAAAAGTCTCAACCTTTTTTTTTTTTCTTTTCTTCTACCAGGTCCTGCTGCTAAACAAATGCACAGTTGAGAGGAACATCCCATCCTGTTCAATTCAGATTAACCTTTTATGAGTTAGTTATTATTCAGGAGACAGATAGGGTCGCTACTAGAAGTAAACAACATCCCTACCAGACATTAAGAGGAAAGAATGTAATCTGCTGTCAATTCATTATATGACAGGCTTATTTAAAGCCCCCCTTCAGTCAGAAATCTACAGTGTGCTGTTTGAAAGCTG